CTACTACTACTACTACTACTACTACTACTACTACTACATGGCCGGCCGGCTGGCCGGCCGCTATTTGGCCAGCCGGCCGGCCGGCTGGTCGCGAAATAGCAGGCCGGGTTGCCCGCGCTGTCGTTGATATCTTTAATGATCACGTTATATCGCGTTATGAGTTATGATGTTATATAAGCAAGACCTGGTTTTGCTTAGTAGATAGTATACATACCTGGACCACCCAATTCCTAAAGAAGTGCGATATGTCAAAGCATAAGAACAAGTGCCATGCTGGACCAAAAAGCGATATTCACGAACAAATGACATATATGTTGTGATTGGGTGTCCCCGGAGAGGTAGACGTGGACAACAAATTCACTCGGATAAATAATCTTAGGTTTCTGCGGAGGATTGGCTTCAAACAACAGCCTGGTCAAACTGAAGTGTTTGTCAAGTGTTCAATATGCTGCAAATTTCCAGTCCACAAGTTTCTGCCATATTCCCGCAAATTTCCGCCATAGACTTGACTTGTTTGTCAAATGTTGCAAGTTGCAGCGCATCCAAGAGTCACCACTTCATCAATCGTTGGAATGCCCAAAGTTGAACTGGAGAGTTTGCTGTGTAGGGCTTAATCAATTCTGCACCCGTATTGTGCCCTGTTGCACCAGGTGCAGGTCAAGATCCCCAAAGAGCACAAAAAATGACATGACATATTACACATTTTTTGGCATGGCAGCTCCAAAACGCAGTTTTTGTTGACCTATGGTCTATGGTATTATTTTTGCATACAAAGGTTGCTCCAAATTTACCCGAACCCTCAAAATTTATAGCGTTTTTGTTGTTTTTCTTTTACGGTATTTGTTCCATTACAATGAGCAACTGTAACGTATGTGGAAGTTGAACTCCCAGGGTGAACTCCCGCGGTGAACTCCCCAGCGCCATGTTCTTCTTCTCCGTGCTTCCGGGCAGCCGAGGTGCCCAAAGCGAGGGGCGCTCAGGGAGACCGGGGTGCCTTCAAGGGAGGAAACGACCGAAAAGGTCAGTCGAAGGACATCGAATGGGCATGTTGTGGAATATCTTATTGTTGTAACTTATAGTTTGTGTTCGAGTTCCTCTTTTTTTTGCACGGATCTGCACGCGCAGAAAAGAACATCGTATTTTTGGGGGTGGGTCTTGGTCGGATGAGTCTGGGTGAGTTGGTGTCTGGATGAGTCGCTCTCGGAACATGAAAGAACGACCCTGGCCACCAGATTTGAGGTGTTGGACAAACTGGACCCACGGATTCCAAAACAACTCGATTTGATGTCTATCCCGGCCTGAAGAGATTCCTGAGATTTGGTGTCTCATCAGAGTCTCATCACAGGTCATACCCACCATAACCCGCTGAAACACGAAAGGCAAGGGAATGGGTGGGCAGACCATCGCCCAACGACGGTCCGCAAGTTCGTGCATCCATGTCTGGGGGAGTTATTCATCAAGAGTCTCCAGTCATCCGTTCTTCCAGCTCCCAAAATCACTGGAATCGTCGGAATCGTAGCTGTGACCTGTGCTGAGAAAACCTGCCGACGCATCCACGGGACGGTCCAAGCCGTGAGGACACGGGTTGCACCCCCCTGCTGCTTGACGTTTGTAGATCTTTGAATGGGGTAGAAGCCCATGAGCATCCATGAGCCCAAATACAAGACAGGTATATGTTGCAGTCGTCTCTTCCACGGTACTGTACTTGAATAACAAAGACGATCTCCGGACAGGTTTTTTTTTCTATCTAAATTAACTATTAGTTTAAGTATTGTATTGTTACATATTCTGAGGTCACTAAAACAGTGACTTCAATTTGCGCTGGAAGTTGAGCAGGAAGATGTCAGTTGGGGAAACCGAAAGAGTACGTGAGTCGTTCCTACCCGAAGTCCCTGGACCCTCCGGCAGGGGTCAGACCCTCAAAAACCCAGCGGTCCAGACCCTCAAAAACCCTTCCATTGCTTCCGGATTCGGATTCGGATTCGGTGTATAGATTCCAGACATCTAAATGTGGTTGGTTTCCAACATGTCCAACCCACAGCACTCCCTCACGCATTTCCCACTTGTGTGGCATGCCGAGTCCAAGCCTCCAGATTTGCCTGACGGATGCTGAAAGGGCCCTGTGTGGCTGGGATGGGGCTCGGTCCCCTGCGTGGCGCTGCTGCATTGTTGCATTCGCTGCTACCTGCAACTTGGACAGCTCAGATTGAGCTGTTGGATGCTAGATTGAGTCTGGTTTTGGCTCAGAGACTGTGGATTGGAGAGTGCTACTTAGGATAGGAGTTGAATAGCTAGGAGAGTGACAGATTTGGGTCACCTTAGCCACTTGGCCAGTGCACACGGTGGTTGAGTTGGACTTGAAAATTGTAGATGCTAAATTGGATTTAAGTGATGCAACTGGTTCTTGCATTGTTCAAACTAGACATTGTTGTGACACTCACACCGAGACTTCTTACTGACTAACGACACTGATCCTTTGCAACTCAGCCACTTGTTGGTGCAGCCGCTAGTACAGTTGGCCGTCCCCCTTTTTGCAGTCCCTCTGTGTGAGGAGCGTTGTGTTTGCGACGGGCGTGCGACGCCCATAGATTTATCGGTGCCGGCAAGTAATCACCGTGGGTGATCCTTGGGTATTATCCCTCAGAATCGGAGGCGGCCAAAAAGGTTTCTCCTGATCCAGCCGTTCTGAGTTGAGAAGCACTGGCCTGTAGCTATAGCTTGCTAGCTTGCAGTATGACCTATCCTCAGTAGCTCTGAGCATGATTGCACCTGACGTTCCGCTAGCCACCTATACTTGTGCATATAGAACACACACACATGTTGCTCGAAATCGTACAAATATCATATGCCTTTCTCCCTTGGACTACCAGCACTTTCAAAGCAATACAGAGCAATACACAGAAGCCTGACGCATGAAAATGGGCACCTGGAAAATGTCCTATACTATTCCGAGACTGAGACTAGGAAAAGCTAGAGAAAGAAGGAGTTCCTAGCGCAATCAAGACAGAAGCAACTTCAGGTTGGCAACTGACTGCAATGCAAATCAATGTAAATGAAGGGCATCAAATGCAGGGTTTCAGTTATACCTGGCTTTGCTTAAGATCATTTGTTATTTTCCCTATGGTTAAATCCCCTAACCCGGGGAAGATTAATTTTTTCCCGGCTTCCTGGACAGCAAATCCAAGAAATGAAAGGGGCATCACGTTTGTCTATGTGCGGGCAACCCGGTTGTGGACGGGGTAACCCGTTCTAGCACCAGACGCAGCAAGTGCTGCATGGGTGGGGGAGAGTCAGTTGAAGGCATCAAGCGCACGTTGTAGACCATGGAAGGGCAGATCCTTTATAAACATCGAATCATCAGAATCAAACGTGTGAAGAATCCCCAAGCTTCGTTTTCGCGCGCCTTTCAAGCATCTCGTCTGAAGAAGTCGCTGCCCCAAGTGATCCTCCTTTAGTATCCATCCAAAATGAATGTCCAGTCGTCCGTCGATTCGTTCTTGGCCTGTTGTGGGACACCAAACAACTGCCCCCCCCGCTGGACCTGTCAGTTTCTGCTGTCCCAGACGTCTAGTCTCCCAGTTTTCTCAAGGCTTCAGTATCGCAGGTGTCGGCGATTAAACAATGCTAGGAAAAGGGTGGTAACGTTTTGGTGGAAAACAAATGCCCGCCCCTGCTACTGAAAACTGCACAAGGCTTGGTGATCATTGATCATACTCACAAGGTGTGACAGTGATCACTTCGAACTTGCACGAGGCTTTTCTGTTCCGAAGGCTTTTCTGTCTCCAGGGTTCCTGACAGAATTGCCTTCCGTTTCCTATGTCGCCCACGTGGCACCGAGAGTTCCTTTCTTGCTCAAGAAGAGAATGCCGGCAGGAACATGTACACCCTGGAAGACTAACATGGAACCTGAAAACCCCTGGTTGGTAGAGGAAAATCGTTTTCCATGGGACCATTGTCACGATTGTCAGGGTCTATGTGAGTTTTCTGGAGTGTAGATTAGATTAGTGGGGGAGATTCCCGAGATCCCCTGGGGTTGTGGTCTATTCGTCCGAACCTACCAGGTCGGAACGGTCGCGGAACGGTCGGTCTCCCTACAGATGCCTTGGTAGCTGAGAAGGCGATTCTTGAATCGGTCAGACAGCATCCATCACGATTTGTTGCTACACAGATTGTGCACCTCTTTTTCATGTGACATGAAGTTGAAATGATCCTTCAGAACGCTATCTGCAGAGCTTCCCCGACGTACGATGAGGTACCTGCATGTTTCAGTCACCTTAACGTAAAACCTTTGCACCTCCCCCAGTTCTCGGCACCCTCCGCCGCAGTGAGAACGCTTCATCCGCGCCTCCCCGCCTCCCGAGACGTTGTCCGCGGGGGTCGTCGCGTCGCGTCATGGAGAGATGGAGGCTTCGCTTCCACCTGCCGGGAGGCCCAGCACCCCGTGGGCCGGCCCGGACATGCCAAAACTCCTGAGCACCCATGTTTTACTTGGAAAGGAACCACCCATTGTTCACTTCTAAACGAGCTCGTTCCGGTGTTGTTCTGGTGTTGTTCCGGCGACCAGAGTGGGCGACGGCTCTGAGAAAGTGGGTAGGTTGTGTCTTGTTGGAGAACGGTACTGGAAGGGAGCAGTGTTGTTTTGTTTTAATTTGGTGACCGGGTCAGAGAGCCAGAGCCGCGTTTGGTTGGGGAATCCTTTGGCCATGAACATGAGCGTTGGAAAACTGACTGACTGGGAGATATTTGATCATTGGCGTCTCCATATGGGTGTGCGTTGAAACAGGTTAATATATGTTAATATAGGATACCTCCAGAAAGGCCCCAAGGAAAAAGGAATAGAACAAAAACATAAAATGACCATAGTGAGTTGAATATGTTTCCATTTGATTGAAGTACACACCCACATTTCCCTTGGAAGGGGGAATCTGCACAGTTCTTGGTCAAGCATCACAGCCAGGATAAAGCTTCAACACAAGGGACCAGCTCTGGTGATGTTTTTGTTCGAGGAACCTTGAACAGACAGGGTGCCTCATGATCCTCATCTACTCAGCTGGGCAGTATCTTCGCAGTGTGTCGGATGTCTCTTGAAGGTGTGTGCTGGGCCCCTTGGGGACCCTGGGCGTGCAACATGAAAACAAGAACATGTTTTGTTGGCTCATGTTCTATGAAACTCCATCCCCCCAAGAATAAAACTATCTATATTTGAAATGTGTCTGGATGTTCAACAACTTTCTTGGGCAGTCTTGATTTCATATATTATATAGTTTGGAGGAGTAAAGTCGATGAAGAACGAGCAGGGTAGGTGCCCTGGCTTTAGAGGAAACATACATCACGTTTATATGGAGAGAAATCATTCTGAACCTGAAATATTGATTCTATAAGGAAAGAAGATGAGATGTGCATTCTATAGAAACAATAACATTCTTTCCGATGACAAAAGACATGAAACAAACGTGAAATGGCTAGCGCGGCCGCCGCAGCATGACCCCAAGATGTGGTTCTTTCAGAATGAACAACTTAAACAAGAACTAACATAAAGGTGGAAAACCACCCCCTTGGTGTTCCAAGGGAAAGGTGGCTTCATGATCATGTGCAATTCAAAAAATTATTCTTCGCATGGAAAAGAGGTTGTGCTGCAATTTCTTCTGTGGAACCAACCCCATCGACAGCCGCCTGTCAAAGCCGGTCTGTGACATCAGGACTCACCTTCGCGTGTTACGAGGACTGCCAGTTTGAGCCAGATGCAGCGCGTGACCGCGACATTGGGTGCAATTGTAGGGTCGACTCTGTTTGTTCCGAATTGGCTGGGGGCCATGGGACCAGAGCTTGGCTGGTGTCGGTCAAATTCTACATGCTGGAGCGGGCTCCAGACTTTGGAACCATCCCCAAATGACCATAACCTGGTTTGCTTAAGGGAGTTTGTTATTTTTTCCCTATGGCAATGGCTGAATCCACTTCTGCGGGAATCTGTTTTCCGAGCTCCTTAAGCAAATCCAAGATCATATACCACAATCATATGTTTCCCAAAGTGACCGGTCTACCCAACTGCAAGTGATCCATTTGCCATGCAGTAAAAGACTCATGGATGTGCAGGATCAGGGCAGCATACTATACCTTTTCTTCGGAAAATATCTCATACTAGTACCTAAAGTCGGGTCCATGACCCTATAGTTAACATGTAAATGATAGCTTCAGAGGTACCAACAGGTCGTTTCCAGGTATATACGGTACGAGCTGCTGGAACCGGGTGCTGTGAGTTTGGACGGGAGGCATGGAGAAATCCATGGTTCACAATCCTGCAATATATTTTAAAACACACCGTTCTTTCCCTTTCCAGGCAGATGTTCAGCACAAATGATCGCAGTGTTCCATGTGTTTTGGATATCAAGCGGTGCTGACTGAGATAAAAGAGGATTGAAAGCGGTGCATGGTGATTTTCATGTGATGAGCCCAGACACTCCATGCGACCTGCCAGGTCCGAACGTGCAGCGCGTGGCGTCTTGCAGCAGGCTTGAACGTGGGGGAGGAAACGGGCGCTGGCCGGTGCGTGCTGAAACGGGGGGTGAAAGGATTGCTATGGTCTGGAAAAAGTGGATCATTTGCCACAGCCCATGCCACACCTGTTACGGAATTGGGGACACCCCGCGAGATCCAGGTGGAGAAGGTCCTGGATGTTCCGAAGATGCAGGGTCAGCTCGATATGGACTGGTGACTATGTGTGAATATGATGGTGTGTTCATAGTGGTGTGTTCGTGTGTTCATGAACCATTATATAACTTCATAATCTGCTTGTGACTATGTGTGTTCATAAGCAGAATATGGACATGGATGTTTCTGATGGACCTCGTTCTTGTGCTGTTCGTTCTTGTGGATGGACCTCGTTCTATCGGCAGGCAAGTCGATGTTCCGACCAAAACAGAACAACTGTTCGCCTCCCTAGACCTGAGCTCTCCCAGAACCCGGGGACTTGAATAGTTACCCCCATGTTTACCTCCTAACCCATGTTGAATGACCGGTCTGTCCGGTCTGTCCGTGGCGTGGTCCGTGGTCCGGAGGTGTGGGGTTCGACTTGTTGGTCGCCATCAACGGTGCTCAGATGAAGAACACATCTACCAGGGAAGGTGGGAAAAAAGGTTCTTGAGGTAGCAAGCATTGGTTTAAACACATCTGAGAACAAAGAAAAACGTCTTGCCAGAAACAAATATTGCATGGTGTCGGTGCGGGCAAAGACCATGAGCATAGATGAGATTACTGCTGATGTTTGCTCATTGTCTCTACCATTGGGGTTGCCAGCTTGGCGATGAGTATAAGTTGGCCTTCACTAACCATCATCATCCACTGTTACTGGTAATGCGATATACCCAAAGTATGTGTGTGTGAGTTCTTCCAGTGTTTCTTTGCTTGGCATTGGTTATGTATACCGGGACCCTCCAGTTCGTAGCTTAGAAAATTATACATGACCCAACCAAAAACATGTACTTGTACCAATTTTCTCCTGGTATATATGTTTTCCATCTCCGAGTTCTCTCCCACCGGCAGCTCTATCGCTTGCTCTCTAGCGCCCCTACTTCCAAGCCTCCCACCAAGGCCATCTTCACGCGGACGGTGCAAAACCGGTCCTTGTTACGTTCCGAGGAGCTCTCCTTGGCCGGGGCTCCTGACCGATCCGTCGACCGGGAAGGAAGGACCCTATCTAGGTATTACGGTATAACTATCCCAGACACTACGGACTGGTATTTATGCCGGTCTTTGGTCCCTCCACCAGCCCAATTTTATATATTCCCATGGAGTGTCGGGGATACATGGAGTCTTTGGGGTCGATGGTCTTAGCGGATATGGTTTCCAGAGGTTGGTGCGCGAGAGGTTGGAGCTCCGGTTCACACGCACGTTCACATCTTTGAACTGTTTCAGTTCGTGACGAAGCTTGCTTGAGTTTGGTTGAGCTCCAGTGTCTAGTGACTTGACCGAGTCATTGAACTGGCGATCATGCTGGTGCCGATTCCGTTCGACTGCTGAGTGCTGACACTGGGTCTCGGAATGGGACACCATCTTGTCCAAACATGTTAAATCCATTTATATCCCTTGTTAGAGGAACAGCGTCTTCAACACCTACTGAGCTACTGTGTGTCAATCTGACAATGGAACACTTGCTGGCACTGTAGTAAGTCCGAGGGTATGGTTTCTATGTGTTTCAATTGTCAATCGAATACCCGACAAAACAGAGACCAACGGCAACGTTTCACATTGTTTGTAGCCAAACCCAACCTGAAGTACCTCAAGTCAGGTCTACAGTCCTTGAACCATTTTGGGACTAATCCAATCCACTACCTTCCATGTTTAGTCCATGTTCGGTGAGACCCCCTGTGACCCATTTGGCGAGACCCCGCGGCCACCGCGCTCGAGGCATTCAAGCCGTGGCCGTTGGCGATGGCCACTGCCTCGAATCGATAGCGGCGATGGCCGTGCTGTTGTGTCATCCTGTGTCAGTCAGTTTTCTCGTTTTATATTTAGGCCGTAGCCCTGCCCTCCTTGATAAAACTCAATTGAAGTAGACGCCAGACGCCTACTCAAGGCGCCCAAGACTGCTAGTGGTTCCTAGATGTTTCGCGAAACTGAGCAAGTCTTTGTCAGTTGTGCTGGATTAGGATAGTGGCTGGTTGGTTGGTTGGTTGCTTGCTTGCTTGCTTGCTTGGTTGATGTTGGTTGACGTTGGTTGATGTTCGTTGATGTTGGTTGAGGTTCGTTGATGTTGGTTGAGGTTGGTTGAGGTTGGTTGAGGTTGGTTGATGTTGGTTGAGGTTGGTTGAGGTTGGTTGATGTTGGTTGATGTTGGTTGAGGTTGGTTGAGGCTGGTTGAGGTTGGTTGAGGTTGGTTGATGTTGGTTGATGTTGGTTGATGTTGGTTGGGGTTGGTTGGTGTTGGTTGATGTTGGTTGGTTTGTTGGTGTTGGTTGGTGTTGGTTGATGTTGGTTTGTGTTGGTTGATGTTGGTTGATGTTGGTTGATGTTGGTTGATGTTGGTTGATGTTGGTTGATGTTGGTTGGTTGGTTGGTTGGTTGGTTGGTTGGTTGGTTGGTTGGTT